TAATCTCAAAAGTGCTTTAGTTTAGTGGAATATCAAGTATACTATTGGTGTTTTATTTTTTGTTAGTTTTAAGAAGCAAAACAGAGCATTCTCTTTGCTTGGATTTTTGTTCTCTTTTATTTTATGACATTATAGCAGAAAGAGTTTTTTGTATCACCTTATTAATTGACTCGACTCAATATATTTTTAATGTAATTTTTATTGACTAGTTATATTTATTATAACATAAATATTTTTTTGATCATCAATTATATAAAATTAATTTATTAGTCTCATAATTCACTTTTAATAGCTTAGCTCCCATATGTTAATAAACTAGAACACTATACTTTAAAAATGTTGATCATTTATATCAGATTAATTAAATTATTAATCCATCATCCAGTTAGAATTAAATGATATTTTAAGGGAATTTGTAATAAAGCTATAGAAAGAATCATTTCTTTTTAGTTTTTAATAAAGTTGAACTGAATAAATTAGATATAAAGGATAGTTACAAGTATTTAAATGCAATGTTTGGTAACGTATTTCTATTAACTTACTGATTATAATTAAACCAAATTTTAATATATCTTAGATATAATTTCAAACTATAATATTAGGTAATTGAATTAGTTGATATTGAAATATTGATGTAAATGTTAAAATATAAATTATTTTAAATACAGATTTTAGTTAAATTTTAAATAATATTAAATTGATTTTTTTAATATCTAAGGATTCAAATTAAATAAATACCATATTTATAATATCAAATTTGAGCTAATTTGAATCACTGATTATTAAAATAATTAATATAAAGATGAATATTTTAAACTTTAATAATATTTTTGCTCTTTTAATATATTGTTTGTATCAAAAATATTAACAACTAATAATTTAAGTTAGCTCAAATTTGGATATATTATAATATTTATTTATTATTTATTAAATTTACTTAATATTAGATATTAAGAAAATCAATTTAAAACTTTAACTAAAATTTGTATTGAAAATGATTTATATTACATCAATATCTCAATATTTAGTAATTCAAATGATCTAAAATTTTGATATGTTATAGTTTGAGATCATATATAATATATATTAAAATTTGGTTTAATTATAATAGGAGAGTTAGGAAAAATACGATACCAAAATGACGTTCGCCCTGTAGTTTAAACATATTACAGAGCGCAGTAATAGATTATTTATTTAATAAACTATGTAAATCCTTTTTCATTTTTATTTAATCGATTTCAATACATCATAAATCATTGCAATCATTTAATAAAATAATTAATTATTACTTACGAAAATAGGAGGTAACAATATCAAATTTTTCTAAGTATTAATTCACTTTAATTTTTATGTTTTCATGCTAAACAATTTGAAACTTGATAATTCAACGAAAGATAAGTTCTTTTCGTTATTTTGAAAAATATCAATATATAACAGAAACTATGTGCATTTAGGACTTGCTAATACAATTTATTCTTGGTGATTTAATTTATCATTAGATTTTTTTTTTGTCATTCAAAAATAGAATAATTTGGATCTAATAATTTGGACATTTTAAAAAAATTATCAAAACTACTATGTAAATATCATTTTATAAACACTAAATTGGACATATGGGATCTTTGCAATAGAAAAGGGGAAAAATAAAAATAAGTTAATGCTAAATTTGAACATATTTCGGCCTAAAAATCATATTTGGCATATAAAAGTAAAATTAATTTTTCCCGGCAGTTTCCCCCTTTCTATTGCAAAGGTCCCATCTAAATGAATAAACCCTTTAAAAACTATTTTTTTAAAAAAAGGAAATTTTTGGGCTCTAAAGATTTAAAAATTTTTAAAAGTGGCCGAATTTTTAAAGGCCATTATGAATGCTCAGCGTACAAGAACTTGGGATAAAATGTTACAGTATACAGTTATAATATAAACTAAACTGTAACAAGTTATTGATTCAATTTCGCCATTACTTAAATATTATAGTCTTCGTTTTTTTGCTTTTGTTTTAGATAGAAGAATTGAATATCTTTTCTAAAGGCCTATTACAGAGCGTTGAGTTGGGCAATATTAGTTGGTTCAATTTATCATTTCTTTAATTTAACAAAAACCTGCTCTAATATCTTCGTTAAAGTAGGTTCTCTCGGTTCCATCTCGGTTCTCCTAAATGACATTTAAAAACTATCAATTAAAAAATTTTTTTGACACTTGAGTCAATTATTGATAGCAATGATTCTAAAACCCAGGAAAACTCAGAATTTGCTGAAATTAGAATCAGTTCCAGAACCGACTCTTTTTGAACCGCCACCATCCCTAATTTAAAGAACTTAAAAAGTACCAAAAGATTTTTAAAAAAAAAAAAAAATTTAAAAAAGTTTAAAAGACAAGAATATATATAAATAAAAATAATAAAAAAAAGGTATATACATAAGTTCCTTATAACGAATCTGAATCCCGAAAAGAAAGTTTAAAATAAAAAAAATTATAAACCTTACGCAGAAACCCAAATTGGATTAAAAAAAACAAATAAATTTAACATTTAAAATTAAATATATAAATAAACAGTTTAAATAATCAAAAAAAAAAAATCACAAAAAAAGTAATAGAAGTTTATTTAGCACAAGAATATAAATAAAAATATTATAAGATTAGTTATAAATAGTATTATTTATAATAATTCTACTTGGGGACGAAGTCCCCCGAAAACTGCAAATTCTAGTTATCCGTTTTACACTTCAATTTCATTCATTTGTAAATCATACTTGTAAAATATATTTTTTATTATTTAATATGCAATAACGTATCTTCGCTAACTTCGCAATTATGTTTCAATTCTAAATATGTTAAACTTTCCACTTTGATTTGAAAGCATTAGTTTTTCGATCGTATGAATGATGATTTTGGCGATATGTAAATAAAGATAAGTTAGATTGTTTCATTTTTAAAGCAGATATTATTTTCGAAGGTGCTTATTTTCAAGGGATGCTTGTTTTCTCGATTATACGGTAAATCATAATTATTTAATTAATGATGATATATTATATAATATTAATACAATTTTTAACACTTTTTCTAATTTAATATTTTTATATATTTTAATAACATTTTGTTAAATCACGAATACTTTCTTGCTGGAATGACATATCATGACCAAAATAAAATTCTTTTAATTTTTAAATAATTTATAATATATTATATTTTGCTTGTAATATTTCAATGTATTTTCCGTTCACACTCCCAATACTTGTCTTTCAAAGTTATTGTGATTGTGCTGGTGAGATGTGTAAATATGAGCATACTTTTTCTTATAAATTTTTTAAAAATGTTCACAAAAAGAAATATTGAGAAGAGAATTCGATTTCTTAAAACTGAGTTCCACAAAACTACTGTTTCGCATGAAGTTGGAAAAAAAGTCTTAAAATATCATTGAAAACAAAACATCAATATCGCTTGATAATTTGGATCTATCCTGCTTTCCGTAATAACAAATCTTGTGTACCATACAAAGTTCGTAAAGTTTTTCAAATCTTTAAAGAAATGAATTCCATAGAATATTATAGATATATCGACCTTTGAACTGGCAGTAGGATCCAATTGACAAGATTGAAATTCAGACCATTTTTTTCAAATCAATCTGCATAACCATTCATTATTGGTAAAAGATTATAGAATTTATATATATTGATTCGAAACTTTAAGAGATTAGGATTAAGATCACATAATTATTGGCCGATATTTCAGGCTTCACCTATAAAACGTCTTATAATGTAAGAGAATCGCTCATTTTCTTGGGCTTATGAATTCACAAAATACTATGCTGATGACTTCTAATGATTCAAACATTTAAAGACTGCCAATAAATTCTTTAAGTCAGAGACAAAGAATCAATTTCGGATATGAGAAAATACAGTATTTTCTAGCTCATTGGTTTCGAGGATTCTAATGGTAGTGAAATCATCAATCATGGTGATGACGCCAGCTGATGTATGACTTGATTATAGTTTGAAAGAGACTCTCAAAGCTTTGCAAGAAGTTGCTAAAACTTACATTTTCTTATGATCGTCGCAATTTCATCGTTAAATATTGTGTAAAAAAAAATAACAAGATTACTTTACGATTAGGGTGTGGTTCAGAGCTCCCCGACTGGGACTTATCTTTTTTTTTCTCTTCCGGTATGTTTATTCACTTATTATCTGTACACCATATTCAATCTTAGGTTCCATTATGAAATTTAATCTCTATTTTTTGTTTCATGTACGTCGTATGTCGCTATGGTAATCTGCCTGCAGGAAGTCAATATATTACGTGATATGGTAACAATATTTACTTTGCGGCAAAAGTTTCTTGCGTATTGAAAATTCATCTATCCGCTATCTATTAAAATATTTTTACATGTAAACCCTTTCTATAAGGTTTTAGCAAATTCAAATGTATTAGTTATTATTAATGTGGAAACTAAATAGGTAGTTAGTCAAAATCCGCATAGTCTTAGACCGAACGATAATATATAAACTTTAATCAATGTATGTAACCGTAAAAGAATTACTTTTTTGAGTCTTTTTTCCAAACTTTCAACCCATAGATACTAATGTAGTTTGATTCATATCGAATTGTCCTGATGTCTATTTGCTCATTTAAGGAAAAAATACTGCATGTTATCCAGATTTAAAGAAATCTTTTTGGGCACTTCTGTCATAAATATATATAAATTTTAGCGCAAGTGCATTACAAATTTGAAAATGGCGATTTAATCTTACAAAATTAAAATTTTAAGTGATAATTACTTTTAGAGAATAGAAAGTTCTTAATTTATTTAAATTATTGAAACACTGGTCAAATTAGACGTAGGGTTAGTGATTATATTATCAAACCCTCAGTGTTTCGTGTTTTTTTTTTTTTTAGACATACTATAATTAAGGTTCGTTCTATTTATTACACCCCCATTTTTCACAGTGTTCGTAAAATTCAAAATTCTAAAAAAAATAACTATAAAAAATTCTAAACTTAAATTAAATTACAAAAGATCCTACAATTAGAAATATTAATAACAATAAATTATTATTATTCGTTAATGAAATAGCAATTGAAGGAGTTGTATCAGCGGGTTGTTCGACGTTTTGTGAGACAGGTGACTCGGTTGGGACATCATTTTGTGGATTATCCTCCTTTGGGACTTGGGCCGCTGGAGTTTCAACAGTCGGAGTTTCAACCGTTGGAGTTTTAGCCACAGGTGTCAAACTAACATCTTCAACGTAGGGTTTTGGATCATCAACACAAACAGAAACGGGTTTAATGAGAAATCCCGCACCTTGTACAATCGGTACAACATATGAAGCTCTAGCAGCGCTTGGTTGATATAAATCATGTTCTAATGATATATGTCCAGTTGTAGAAGGTTCTTTAACCCATTGAGTAAAATTTCCTTCGATCCATTCTGCTTTAAAATTCTTATCTTCCCCTGTCAAGTAATCATTCGTATCTTTATCCCACATAACAATTTTATAGCCTAGTTGAGTTAAGATTCCTCTAACTCGATCATCACAGTCTCCGAAAGGTGGTCGCATATATTTTGGTGTAACACCCACGGCTTGTTTTATCGCTTCTTCCGTCCATTTGATTTCTGCTATGATTTCCTCATTGGATTGTTGGGTAAGATGTGAATGAGACCAAGTGTGTACCCCAATTAGATGTCCTAATAAAAAGTATATATATTAATACACATAAAAGTAACTTGGTGATTCGTTAAAAACTTACCAGCATTGAATGCTTTTTGCAAGATTTGTGGGTTTTCTATTACGCGTGAGCCGATAACGAAAAATGTTAATTTAACATCTTTTGTTGCTAAATAATCTAATAAAGTATCTGTAAACGCTCTGATAAAAAATAAAAGGAAAAAAAAAAAAGTTAGTAAAAGAATATCATCAAATAAATTCATCGTATGTATTTATGATCTTTATAAACTTACGTTGGGCCATCATCGAAGGAAAGACCCCAATCTTTTAACAATCAAAAAAAAAAAGAAAAAGAAAAAAAAAAGCCGGTAAATTAAATGATATTATTATTATTGATATATATATAAGGTAAATGATAAAAAAATATTTTGATTTAGATGATGAGCCAATCATATTAAAAAGCAAAAAAAAGGCAAACCTGATGTATTGGGACAGACGACTATATCGGAATCATTACGAGTGCATTGAGTACAACTCCATTTACAAAATTCATCATTTGCGGGACAATCATTTTCGCCTTTCGATAACGGAGCTTTTGGAACTTTTGACATATCAACTAATGAAGTCCAAGTTGCATCAACTGGTGGAGGTTTATCAACTTCCGGCCATTTTCCTTTTAACTGCGCATTAGTTGTAACTGTCAAAAATGAAAATGCGAGAACATAAAGAGATGCTTCGAAGATAAGTTTCATTCTTTTTTTTTTTTTTTTCTAATAAAAACGTTATAGGGACGGATAAAACGAAGATCAAAAAAGGAATGAACTTGTAGTTGTGGATTAGTACAATTGTTGAAGCTTTTATAATCTTTTCTCGAATTACAAAAATAAACATTATTGATAATAATAATCATTGATTTCTAGCTTAATTCGGTAAATTTTCTCGAAATAACATTCATTATATAATGGATACGACTAAGTGTAATTCCAAATACGGTCAGCTTATTTATTGCATTAATTTTCTAATTATACAATGGTTTGATCAATGATTAATTAAGTAATTCCTTTATTAAAAATAAAAACGAGTAACGAAAGGTTTTCATTTTAGGTAATTTGCCAAGAAAAACTTTAACCCGGAAAAGGATTTAACCGCAAATCTGATCATATAAAACGGTTTACATTATTATCCCTGAACGAGGCTGTCCCAACAAAATTTTTCTCCTGGTATAAACAAGTTTTAATTCTATTTTAAAATATTCAACAGCATCTTAAACAAAAAATCATGTCAAAAAAAAAATCATTTCACTTCTTTTTTCCTTAAATTCTCATATAAAGGAAGGTGTTAGTCCCTTTTTGAAAATATCGATGTAAGGGGTTTTTGAATCATTATTATGCTAAGCCTATTTGATTTGAACACAAAATGTCTAATTTTAGACATCAATGGCCAAGACATTTTGCCAAGAAATTTCAAAAAAATTATGTACGATAATATTTACTTATCGGAAAATTTATGTAAATTTTAATATCCGATGCAACAAAGACTAATTTTGTTTAATCAGAATTCAGAAAGTTGTGTTACGTTCATGCATCGCGTGACGTATACTTACTTTCAAGAATAGGCAATTAATCTTTTGAGTTCTCGGTTACATTTAGAAATATGCTAGCACATCAAACCAACATCAATGTTTACCATTTATATGACAAAGTTAAACTCAAATTTTTGAACCCTTCAAGTTTCAAAGATTATATAAATATTCCTTCAAAGATGATGAAGAATAGAATTGGGAATCATATTGTTAGATTCTTTTTTGATTCTTCACGTTTGCTACGTAAAGCTATCAACATAATGTATGTCAGCACCGACTCTTAATCAGAATTTACTATTGTAATTATATTCTTTCAGTTGCAACTTTAAAAAAATTTTAAAACAAATTTGCAAGAAGTTTTGTTAAAGACAACAACTAAATCAAATAAGAAGTTAAGTTAACAACATTTTATGCACATTTATGTATTAAATTATTATACAAAAATAACAAAACCTTTTTTTTTCTTTATTAAAGTGAATTAGATTAATTGAAAATTTCGTATTTTTTAATAATAAATCATTGTTCATTCCTCCCAGTCCTTTATCGATTCCCTTAAAACAATATATATATACATATATATATATATGTCGTTACCTTTTAAATCATGTCATGATAATGTTTTCTTTGATTATAAGGCATTTCAATACGAACGGTAATTCCTTCTACTAAAATACTTCCTTGATTAAGCGCGGCATGATATCCATCTTCATCGGAAAAATAAATAAAAGCATATGGCTTAAATGACATTATTTGACAGCAAAAACAATGGATATAAAAATTTAGTTGATCATTAATGATTTAACATCAATAACTAGATAATCTACACACTTACCGAATTCTGGTCTTTATAATAATCTACTACACGTCCAAAGGCATTTTCAACATGATTTATAAGAATATTCTTCGTTATCGGTCTTACAACATTTCCAAAAAATAACTTTAATCGGTCACTATTGACTAAATTGTAGAATATATTCAAAAAAAATAAAATAAAATAAAGTAAAAGAAAGGAAAGTTGAATATATCTATTATTCTTTCTATACCTGTATTTTTTTGTTGTTTGGTTGAAAAGTACGTTCTTAGGTTTTCATGATTATCATCATCTGATTGAGTGACAAAATTACTCTTTCGAGAATTATTTAATTCATGTTTTAGTTCAATTATTTCTTTTTGGGCAAATAATAAGTCATCTTGCAGACCAATAACTTTTTTTCTTAAGCTTGTAATGATTCTATCATCTTCTTCGATTTTAATGTTTAACTTTTTACATTCAGGACAATTATAATTTGTAGAATATGTAGACATTTTTTTTTTTAAAAAAAATATATAGATTATATACAAGATAAAAAGTAAAATCAAAAAGGGGAAGAGGGGTAAGATAAAAAAAACCCTGGATGAACATTGTTATTTACACATGATCGGCTAAACATTTACTAGTAATGGAATATATATACGGAAAAATTCAAATTTACTTTGCCACAGACGACACGGCCTTAGCACAATACCTGAAATCTAAGTAAAGTTTGGATTTGTATACTTCAGTTCTCAAAATATTATTTCAATAAATGATTTTTCCATCCAAAATAACAGTTGTCAAGTCCGAAAATAAGCTGAAAAAAAAAATACTTTAATATAGATAGCAATGAATAAGTTAGTACTGTATTTGATTAAAGTAACTTTAGAAAGTATTTTCTTATGTATTATTAAAGAGCTGAAAACATTCATTTTATGAACCAAAGTAAGCATTAACTTATTGCCAATACATTTTCGCATCTCTTACACAATCCACCTTCAATATTTGCATTATAATTCCAGCATCTAGGACATTTGAATAAAGAAGCTTTTTTAGCTATAATTTTACAATTCCCTTTTATGCCTTCAAGCAAATCAGTTTCATGAATATAAATTGGAGTAGATTCTTCAGTTAATCGTGAAACTTTGTCAAATGATACTGTTGCATCCGAGGTTATAAATATGGATTTTAAATCCAATTCTTTTTTGATTCAAATGAATTAAGATTAAAGTAAATTTTATAAATTAACTGCATTGAAAATTATAAATTATTACTTACTATATCTTTGTAATAAATTGAATAATTCCGTAGACGTCACGTACAATTCTACATTAGCCTCCAATGAACTTTTTATAATCCTATATACATGGATATATTTTATTGATTAAATTTTGTTGGTTTCATGTATATTTAATATATATATTGTAATAAAAATATTTTTTATCAAAGCTTACTTGTCTTTTCTAACGACTTCTAATAGTTGATTCACGTCATTCCTTAATTGTTTTAAAACATCCCATTCCTGTCGTAAAGATTGATTATTCCATTTTTCATCCTATCATTAATTTAAATCAAAAAATTTAATAATAAAATAAGTAATATTGGTTAATTTTAATCATTTACATACCAAATTATACCATCCTAATCTGAAAATACTATCATATTCCTTGGGTCCTAAAATTTTATAATTCTCATAAATTTCTTCCGCAAGATGTGGAACTATCGGTGATAATGTTATGGTATAAACATTCAAGATCTATTCGATTAACTCCAATTAGAAAATTACTTTTAAACATAAACCAATAATGTATAGAAGAACTCCTCCTTACATGGTAAAGAACGGTTAATACATTTTTCCTGCTCTGACTTGTTAAATAATCAGCGTATAATCTGTCTTTGATGATATCAAAATAAAATGCCGATAACGTCGTATTTGTGAAATTATTTAGCGTTTGAACAACTGATAATGTAAATCGTTTTTTTTTTTTTTTTTTAGATATCATTTAGTATTATGGATTGTAAAAAAATATAATAAAAATAAAATCATACCTTTATTAAAGGTATAATCGTCATAAAAGGTCTTCACGTTATTTCCAAAATGATAAACTTCATGTAACATATATTTATCAATCTAAATATATAAATTTATGTTTAAAAAAAGTTCGGTTTTAATTGACTATAAATGAACAATCTCAAATACTAACCGGATAAAGATCTTCATAGTCAACCAATTTATCATAGCTAAAATTATACAAATTACCCAACATAAATCTCGCTGTATTACGATATTTCCGAATGTTTTCTCCAACTTGTTTCATAACATTGCTCCCTATGTTAACATCTTTAATGTACTCTGATGATGCAACCCATAATCTAAGTACATCTACCCCGTATGCTGGGTTTTTTTTTAGGTTCTGAAGACAGATGGTTTATTATTAAAAAAAATTGTATAATTATTTCAAAAATTTAAATTCTTACCTTTCCTCCTTTAATGATAATATTGGGATCCACCACATTTCCTATAGATTTTGACATTTTCCGACCGTGTTCATCCATAACAAATCCATGTGTAATCAAAGCTGAGTAAGGAGCTTTATTATTTACAGCAACTGTTTTAATAAAAAAAATTGGAATCAGTCTTCAATCTAAATACATTACTGCACAGTCTAATAGTAATGATAAATCATAATTACTAGAAGTTAACAAAGATGACTGAAACCATCCGCGATGCTGATCGCTTCCTTCTACATATAGATCTGCAATTGCCTTGGAATCTTCCCTAATATTGTAAAATTTTCTTAGTAAATAATATATATTTGTAATAATAATTTCGGGTATTTACCTTTTGAATTTTTTCAAGAGATAAGTCCAAGAGACTCCGCTGTCGAACCATACATCCATTGTATCATTCCCTCTCCTATACGTTTTACCTAGTGATTATAATTTTCTTTCCTATTAATGAAAAATTTTTACGAAGTTTGATCGATTATAATTACCATTGTTCTTATACTCGGGATGAAGCAAGTCTTTCTCATCAGTTTCCCACCACCCATCTGATCCATGTTCTTTAACAATTTCGATTATGTGTTTTATAGAAGAATCTGTCAATAAAGGAATATCTGTTTCTGTTTCGTATAATACTGGTATAGGAACTCCCCAGGATCTTTGACGCGAAATACACCATTCACTACGTGATAAAGTAAATTGTTCCAATCGATATCGTGCTAAAATAATAATAATATCCTTATGTTATCTTTATTCAGCTTGTAAAGTAGGATGAATTAATTTTAATATATATACCAGCTTCAGGTACCATTTTAACCTCTTTAAGTGATTCAATGGCTTTTTGTTTAATGGCTTCGACATTAGCAAACCATTGAGCAGTAGCTCTTAAAATAATTGGCTTTTTTGTTCTCCAATCATAAGGATATTTATGTATAAAATTTTCTTCTTTAATTAAATTGTTTTTTCTTCTTAAATATTCTATTACAGATGATGTCCCATTTGTTAATACAAATTTACCCTCAAATGTAGGATTACCTACGTCAGGAGTAAAATTTCCAAACTCATCAACTGGACAAAATATTGGAATAGATAGTTTTTTACACGTTTCATAATCTTCCATTCCATGACCTGGTGCTATATGAACCAATCCTTTAAATATTAAAGAGTTAATAAGTATGGAAATTTTTTTGATTTTGAAAATTAAACAAAAATATTTACCTGTACCGGATTCTTCAGTGACATGAGAAGCTTCAATGATCTTACATTGTTGCATATTTATTGGATGCATATAGATTGCCCCGACGAGTTTCTTACCTAAAAATAAAAATATATTTTTTCATTGCGCTGTAATTTATTGATCTCGAAAAATTTACGGGAATAATCATCGATTAAATATTTTACCTTCAAATGTAGATTTTATACTTAATTCTGTGCCAAGAACTTTTTGTAATACATCTATTCTTTTAGATGCAACTATATAATAATGTATAGTCGATGCATTGTGGTCAACATTCGTTGGACAGACAATTGAATATTCCATATTTGGATTTATTGCAACTGCCTAAATAATTAAATTTCTTTAATTACCGAGGAGATGTTAAAGTAATGACAATAAATCAGATTTAAACCTGATTTGCAGGAAGAGTCCATGGAGTTGTTGTCCATATTAACACATTTAGATTATCTCTTGACAAAATTGGTAAATCTAGGGCTAGTGATGACAATGTTAAATATTAGCAATAATGTTTATAGAATTATTAAATTTTTAGATTTTCATATTTACTTGAATTAATCATAGGAAACTTTACATAAACCGATCTGCTTTGATGGTCGTCCTTATATTCCAACTCTGCTTCAGCTAATGCTGTTCTACACAAAAGAAACAAAGAAACAATACATAAAATATTTAATGAAATGAGAAACTTGAATATAATTTTCGAAATTTACCTTGAGGAAGGAGACCAATATACGGGTTTATTTTGTCTATAAATATATCCTAAAAAAAAATTTAAATAAAATACATTTGTAAATTCAAAAAGTTTTAACAAAATTTCTTGCAAATACCTTTCTTCAACATCTCGTGAAATACTTGTAATTGATTAACTTCATATTCCTTATCTGAATGAATAAAAAATTCAATCTAATCACTAAGTAGAAAAATAAGATAAATAAATAAATATATATATCTATCAATTTTTACCCAAAGTTCTGTAAGAATTTTCCCAATCTCCCATTATTCCCCAATTAATAAATTCTTTCTTTTGATACTCTAATGCATTTAATGCACATTGTCTTGCTACATTGCGAATATGAAGTGGTGCTAATGAAAAATTATCTACATTCTAATATGAATATATAAAAACTTGGATCATTTAATTATTTTATATTATTTAAAAAAAGAATCATAGACTTGATTTCTTACTTTTAGTTCTGTAAGTGCTTTTAATTCAATTGGCAAACCGTGACAATCCCATCCTGGAATATAACTTGAGTAATATAAATATACATAGTATGTGCAAAAGTGATAAATTTTCCTAGATGATATATGAACCTTACTTCACTTTATGTCCAATTAATACTTTGTATCGATTTATAATGTCTTTTAATATTTTATTTAAAGCATGTCCTAAAATAAAATGAAATGATTAATAAGGATTTATTTCGATGATTAAATTTCAAATGACCTTTACCAATATGTAAATTTCCATTAGCATACGGTGGTCCATCATGTAAGATATATAATTCTTTTGGATTATTTTCTAACTAAAAATATATTGAGGTTCAACTAATTTAAAAATAAGTATCCAAAAATATCCTCAATTATATACATACCTGCCATTGATATAAATCTTTAGTACACCTATCTCGAAACAAAATTTCTCTATTAGCAGCATCGGCTCTTAATGGGAAATTTGTTTTTGGTAATAATAAAGTATCACTATATATTTTATTCAAATCATTATTACTAGTGATAATACTTTCTTTTTTCACATTTCCAGTAGAAAAATTTTTTGAATAAATGAGAGAAAATTCATTTTTACCATAATCAAATAAAGAATCTTGTTTATTTAATTGATTGAAAATAATTGAAACATTTTTATTAAGTTTCGTTGTCAGATAATATTGATGATATGATCGTAGAGGTATATAATTTATCAATTTTAAAGGTTTTATTGGTTTTATTAAAAATTTGGTATAAAAATAATTATGAAACATAATTAAAAATTGTTTTTTTGTTTTTTTTTTTGATTTAGCGATAAAAAATTTTGTTTGATCGGCATGGATCGCTAATTGGCCGATAAGATCTTACAACTTCTAGGGAAATTTTTACTATATGTAGGGTTGGTAAAAGTCCTAATAAGTCCTAATTGATCTTAAAGAATTTAAAGATAATTTTAATTTATATACTATTAATTAAATTTTTTAATAATAAATTATTATATATCAATTATTTTATTAATTTAAAATAAAAAATTCTTTAAAAATAATAAATATACTTAAATTAGGTCTGGTCCTAGGATCTAAGTTCTAGGTCTAAAATTTTAAAGATATTTTAAATTTTAAAAAGAAATTTAAACTTATTTTAATAAGTAACTTTAATTAAAAATTGAATATAATGATAATATTTAAAAAAATTTAATCTTTAAACCTAATAATTTTTTTAAAATTAATCAGAACCAATTAGGACCAATTAGAACTTTTACCAATACTAATTTTATGTTTCCACCACAGCAGTTATCTGACCTTAATCTTGCAAATCAGGTTTTTTTATAATTAAGCAAATCATATCAAGCATTATCATATAAAAAAAATTATATATAAAAAAAAATCATGTGAAGAGAATTAAAAAATAAAATATATATTAAGCAGGTAGCTGAAAAACATACATGTAAATTGATTTTATTTTCTCTAATAAATTTGACCAGTTTTTTTTTTTATCAAAAAAAATTTATAGTAATATAAATCAAGCAAATACCTGGTAATATATATGAAATTGAACTGAAAATCCAAAAGTTGAAATGTTTCAATTTTGAAAGTCAAAGTCAAAATGAAAAGTTGAATTAGTCGAAATGACATTATATCACATGATTTTTTATATATATAAAAAAACAAAAGATGTATGATCTAGATTATATCGCTCTGATTCATATAAAATAACTACCATTCGATTTCTCGCAACTAAATGAATCTAATAAGTTAACATTCATTGATTTTGGATTAAGCACTCTTGAGATATTTGCGATCGAATTTTAAAATCCAAACTCCTTTATTTAAAGTAGAATTTAATAATTTATAATTTCAACTGATAATACAATTATGATTATCTCGAAATTAAATAATTCAAAATCAATATATGTTAGTTCATTGGATTCGTCTAGTCACAAGGAATCGAATGGTAGTTATTTTATATGAATTAGAATGATATTGATCTAGATTGTACATCTTTTTTTTATATATATAAAAAATCATATGATATGATGTCATTTTGACCAATTCGACTTTTGACCTCTAATAGTCAAAATGATTTTGACCATTTCGATCATTTTAGATATCTGAAATGATCCATTTCAACTTTTAGTAACCTTTTTATAAATATATACTATTCAATACAGTAATAATACGATAATTGATGGCACATTTATATAATAATACTATATATGTGATATATAGAGAGTATATTACAAATAGGTTTTTCTCAATTTTAAAAAACTAAGTTGCTGAAATACTTATAAAAAAGTGAAAGCATAAGAGATGTAACATTAGCCCTATTTATTTTTAGATCAAATTAAACAAATTAGATTAATTATTAATTAATGTGAACAAAATTTTTGTAGTTCACTTTGATTGATTTTTTTTTATACGTCATATCCTTGTATACGTCACTTTCTTGAAATAAAAAATGTTTAATCTAAATTTCACTATCTTTCATTCAATTATTCTAAAATTATCAAATCCTCAAAAAATATTTTTACAAAATCCAAATATTTTAGATGTAATGTCTTTTAACCCTTTAGCTCCTTATACTTCTTTGGTTTTTTTTTCTTTAAATCCTACTTTTACTTTCCTAATTTTATATAATTTTACTTTACAGTCACCTTTATCTAAAAACCAAGAAAATACAAACCAACTAATTAAATTTACATTAACTTTATATTATCTACCAAGCTAAAAAGTCATAAAAAAAAGTAATAAAACCTTTAAAAAAAAAATGCTTCTCAATCTGCTGAAGATGATGAAATACAGTTGCGACCAAATGTTATGCATCAACTGATCAACAAATTTTAAAATTTAATTATTTCATACGCAAGCAAAAAAAAATTGAAAATTTACATTTATTTAATTTATTATATCCCAGAAAATAAAAATCCTTTATTTTTTTATTAATTTAATGATTAAAAAAATTAAAAACTAAAAAATAAATCAATTTCGTGCGATGCGTTACTTTTGATCGTTTTTATGTTTGTAATCTCTAATGGATTACTAAATACAAAATCATCATAAACTTCCCAATTTTTTTTTAAAAAATTAGTTTACCATCGAGTATACCTCCCTTTTGCACTTAATACATCATTAATACGCTCAGGCATGCCTTCTATTAATTTGGTAAGATATTCAATATCCATTTCTACCCAAATTTTTTGTATTGCATCCCAAAGTTGATCCTGTGTATAAATTCCTATAGATAATCGTCTTAGATGCCTGTCAATCTCATTCTATAAATGCTCTATTGGGTTTAAATCCGGTGATTGTGGTGGCCATTCAAGTAAATTGATGTTATTATCTTCAAACCACTCCTTAATTAGATTAGCAGTATGTTTGGGATCATTGTCCTGCTGAAATATAATATTATTTTTATCCAACTGATTCCACTGGATGGTTCCTAAGAGATCTTCTTTTAAGATTTGCCGGTATAATTCACCATTCATATTCCCATAAATTCGCACAATGTTGCCAACTCCAAAGGAAGAAAAGCATCCCCATATCATAATACAACCCCCACCAAACTTAACTGTAGGAATAATATGTCAGTCATTAAGTGGTTCTTCTTGTTTTTTCCAACAATATTTGCGTCTATCAGATCTAAATATCATAAATTTGGACTTGTCTGACCAAATTACCCTTTTCCACTCTTCAATTTCCCAATTCTTGTATTTTTTAGCAAATTTCAACCTTAACTGACGATGTTTTTTTTTTAAATATGGTTTTTTTCGTTTGATTCTTGAAGAAAAACCATTTCGACGTAAAGTACGCTTCACAGTGTTTGTACTAACATTCATTTTGGCATGGGTTTTTAGGTTTTTTTGTATATCCACTGCAGTTGAACATTCATCAGACACAAGCATATTAATTATATTACGCTCATTTCGTCCTGTAAATATTCTTGGACATCCTGACTTAGGTAAATCTTTGACTGAGCCTGTAGTTTCAACTTTTTTTTTGATTCTAACAACAGAAGATTGTGCAATATTTTCTTTTTCTGCAATAAATCTTGTAGAATACCCTTCTTGAACAAGAGTATATATTCTTGAACGTTTTTCAGTAGAAATATGAACCATACTGTCAAAAATAAAGAAAATACCATTTAAAAAAAAAAAATAAAGAATTATGTGTTTTACATTATAATAAAAAGGTTCGTTAAGAAGAAAAAAATTAGAGCTGTAATATTATTCTTTTTAAACCAATCAAACGATCAAATGATTTGCATCACCATTTTTAGAAAAAATCAACAATAAATTTTCAAATTGTATAACAATCATGATCAAAATATTACATCACGATTAACATTGTGTTAAACTATTAAAATAATTAATTTTTCACAATTATAATATATAAATTTAAGAAAAATTGCCTTTTTATTTATTTTTTTAGGTGATGCATAACATTTGACTGCAAATATAGGATGGTATGATGAAAATATAAAATTATTATTAAATCTTTTGAAGAAAAATTTGTAAGCTATAAAAAAACAAATCAAATTTTGCTAAAAAGGTTTCTACTTAGCTTTTTTAGAAAAAATATGAAAACAAATTAAGAATAAATTAGCTTATCTTATGATTAAGTATAATAATATTAAAAAGAAAAAAATCAAACAGGAAGGGAATCACAAGTCAAGCAGAAATAGTTTGAAAGAATTGATATTTTATTTCATAATACAAGTTTTTTATTAGATGGTCTTTCTAATGATATTGATTTGTTCAATAAATTTAAAGAAGAGAAAGAAGTTAAAGAAATTAGTGAAGCAGAAATTGTTTTTAAGAAACAATTGAAAGATTTAAAGTAAAATAATCAAGCAACTTAAATAAAGGAATTAGATATTAAAATGTTACAACTTAAACTATCTTTAGAATAGCAAATTAATAGTAATAATATTATAAATTTTAATCATAATAATAATAATAAACTTTGAAATTTAATAAATAATATATCAATGTGTTTTTTTTATGATATTAAATTTGCTTTATATCCTCAGTTTATAATAAATAAAAAAATAATTTTCATTATATAATTTAATTAAAGTTATAGTGGTATCAGAAATGATCAAATTATTTAAATTTAAATAATAATTGAATTATCACATCATTTAAGTTAGAATAATAATGATCTAATTGTTCAAATTAGAATGATAATGATTACATCATTCAAATTAGAATGATAATGATTACATCATTTAATCTAGAATGATAATGATTATATCATTCAAATTAGAATGATAATGATTAAATCATTTAAGTTAAAATGATAATGATTATATCATTTAATCTAAATGATAATGATTACATCATACAAATTAAATAATAATGATTGAATCATTCAAGTTAAAATGATAATAATCACATTCTTCAATTTAGAATGATAATGATCAAATTATTTAATTGAATGATAATTGAATCATCTAATCATTCTAACTGAACAATGATAATCATCTAACTGAATGATAATAATTGTATCATTCTAATTGAATAATAATATTTGAGATATTTAACTGAATCAATAAAAATTTTAATATTTATACTTAATCAGATTACAATTTAACTTATTTTTCATTATTCAATTGTTTTTATTATATTTATAATAAAAAATTAAAAAAAAAATACATTATTAAACATATTAATGAAAAATCTAATTCTTTTTAGTCTGCCTAGCTCTTTTGTATAATCTGATATAAAATTATTATTTTCATTATTCATATTATTTTTTTCATCAAATTTCAAATGTTATTATTAATTTCTAAGAAATCATGTTTTAATATCAAGATCCCTTAGAACTTTCAAATCTTGTTTTCAATTTACCAGAAGTATTTTCTGTTACAATTTAATGACTTGAATGAAATTGATTAAAATCAAGAATTTGAATCTTTAAAAGAAGGAATTAAAAAGAAGAAATAGAATATGCAGGATCACCTAAAAGGTAATCATCTTCTTGAATAAGGTTAGAATAGTTTTTATAAAAAGAAACTTTCTATATACTCAAGTATCATGAACAGAATCAGGCTAACTTATATTAAAACTAATAAAAATTCCTTTGTAATTTACAATACCTTGACAATGAATAGCATACTATTTCTTTTGAGTAAAATAAACTTCTGAATCTTTACTTGATGCATTTTTCATAAGAATATGTATTTTATCAATAACCCTAATTACCTTTTTAAATTTTCAAAACCTTTATGAACTTTTCTACACTTCTCTAAAGTAAGCTATTTAAAAAAGTGTTTTTTTGTATTAAAATTGCTTGAATAATTTGTTTGGTGTAAAAAATTACTATTCTTTCTTCTAATCCAAATCTTAAACAAACTTCAAATAAACTCCTAGTAGAACTAAGTCTACAAAGAAATACAGCTAACTGAAATTCAATACAAACTTGAGGTTTTGTTCCTTGTGATAAAAATACAGGATGAATATGTATCAGATTAGATAATTGTAAAAAATTATGTGAAAATATTCTTAAGATTTTTTGGAATCTATTAGGATCACATGATAGAAGAACTTCTATCCACCAGTGTTTGATTTAGATCAAATAAATGCTGTGCCACCAACCTGGCAGAGATGCCTTTTGGATCCATCATGCCGTATTTTTTAACTAATAAGTCTTGCTTTCACGTGATTAAATATTTGTTAGTTGTTTGTACCAATCAGATCTAGTAGGATGTAGTGCATGCCCACTTAGTTTAGAAACTATGTCGATCATTTGCTGGTATAATTAGATGCTCAAGCTGGTGGAACACGAATACTGGAATAGATTGCGAAACAATGTGAGTTGGTTTTCACTTACAGTATCTGAAACAAAATAAATCCCCACTTAGATGACCACTTAATTTCGTTAATGGAAGAATCAAAATACCCCGAATATCAAAATCAAGTGCTATGCTTGTCTAAAGATTACGTTTCATTCATTTTCGTCCTTAATTTGGTCTTTCGAAGGATTAAACGTTTCAGAGAAACATGATCTACACTAGAATCCACCTATTAAAGGCATTACGGGATCTCATTCATCTACTATTAATAACATGCGTTGACCGGAATATGTTACAACTAAAAAACAGGGGGAATACATCAATGCATAAACATGAGAGTTTTTGTGTCTACTATAAAAAATAATTGTATCAGTCGAACATTAAGTACAGGTGATCAGAAACAGTAGTATTGTATGCTAAGAATATAACGGGACTTTATTTATTAAAACGAGGGAAATTTTTGTGTTTATGTTCGACATCGAATGAGAAGATAATCAAAACGCTCCTTTTTTACGATCCTAGTTAGTTTTATGTATCAACATGCACATAGGAACAAAGTAATAAAAATATATACATTATCTCCGGTGTATAGAGTTTCATGAAGAACATTACCAATTGTCTTCATCGCAGATTTTCTTATTGCCGTCAACAATGTAAATATTTTCATTACCATCATGCCAATACCTCACTAGAATAGCAAATCTCTTTGACAACGAGGTTCACTAAGAAAAGGATCTAAAATATTTCCTTACAATGTAATATAGCAAAAAACGTACAATTCTTTTTTTATAAGCGTGATCAGTTAAATTATTATCTCTGTGTTACAAAAAATGTTGGGCAAATCACATGTGTCGATTTTTTGATTAGATACTGCGTTAAATCATTAAATACGATGTATATATATGCTAGAACCTTCGAGGTTACAAATGTAACACATGTTGTTCCCATTTCACTTTGCAAATGATGATTTCGTTTTTAAATTTTCGTAGTTATGCCTTGAACGTAGAAAACATTTTAACTGTTGTTACATCGTTGGATACAAATCTGCATGATGGTTAGTAATAAACACGAATCAGTTGAATCACGAGTTTTATGCTGACATAACATTATTTTGAGTTGAAAATCACAATAAAGATTAAAAGGGCATTTTTTATTATTTAATTATAATGTATGCTATATCTATTACTATATAAATAAAAGAACAATAATGCTGTCGTGATATTAATACATTACTAACATTAGATATGATTTTATGCATTCTGATAAGATAAACCTTGTTATTAAATGTCGCAACATTTATTAACTGGATTACCAACAGAATCAAGTAATATACAACATTGGGAACAGCATGTAATAAAATTTTGGATATCACAAAAAGAGTTATTAGGCCTACATGTGGGTATTACTAAAACGGAGGTGGTAGTGGAGGTAGAAGTGGAAGTAGTAGTGGCGGTAGAAGTAGAGGTAGTGGTTTCAAAAATGGTTTTTGTTGTGGTTTTATCTTTAGGACATGGTTTATAAACGGTTGGAGTACAATAGACGATTTCTTGGCATTTGCCATGTTTATCATGAATATAATGTTTATGTTTATCAGGAACACAGGTAAAAGTTTTATGTTTATTTTGTTGATGCCTCTTTTTTAATGCTGGTTGGGGAATAGAAGTAGGAGGAACGAAAGTGGTAGTAGTGGAAGTGGTAGTAGTGGTGGTGGTGGTGATGCTGGTGGTTGTAGTGGCGGTGATTGCGGTAGCGGTAGAAGTGGTTGTAGTTGTTTTAGTGTTTCTTCTTGGGCAATGCGATGGATAAACGGTTCTAGTATAATGGTGTGCCTCGATAACTTTATCACAGTGTTTATTTTGTCCATAATGCTTAGTTGCTACTGACGACGAGAAAAAAAGCATCAAAACGACTAAACCAGTCGTAATGAAAAGAAATTTTCTATTCGACCACATCATGATGAAAACAATAAAAATTATCAAATTACAATAATTAAATCAATTGGTAAGGGAAAGAATTAGAAATAAAAGTAATGATAAAAGTCGTCTACATCAGTATATTTATACCTTTAAATCAATTAGTGAGCTACGTTGTATCCGATAAAACATTGATGGTGCCACAACAGGTGCATCAATGTTCAATGATAAAAGTCGTATTTATTTATAAATTGTGTGTTCTTAGTGCCAATGAAACCTTTCCACAATAAGTGCGCATCAATAATGTCAATGCATGTACTTATTAAAATTTTTACGCACCAGTATAAATAATTTTATTAATATATTTAACGCCAACTGTGACCTCGGTCCATAATATTATGCTCTTCCTTCCCACGTGGTTGCAAAAATGTGGTTAAGGAAGATACATAATAATAGCTTGGTCTTGGAGAGATCTTTTTACATACTTGAGAAAATAAGAAAGTTTTTGGCAATGTGGACTGACGAACAACTTTGAGTTTTGATCGATAACCACAAAGAATATAACGAAAATTATCATGAACTAGTTGGGAAAGGGAAAAGAATTTTCTAGAAGAGAGTCTCAACCTCAGGTTTGGGACAAGCTATTCAGGCGCACATTGTAAGGAAAAGTTTGAAGGTCTCAAACGTGACTATAAAGTAAGTGGAAATTCATTCCATTAGAAAATATACACTACGGATCATCTCTATTGGATTTGATAATGGAAAGAAGACCAAAAACGGTCTGAAATACTATGAAGAATTTAAATCAGAATTTTGGGAAACGCCTGGTAGATATTACTAAACCTCTCCTTTAATACTGTATCATTCTGGCTTAATAATTGAGTATGATCAGCTTCGTAAGCAAAATATCGCAAGAAGTTATCAAACTCCACCACTGCCTACGAAGAAAATGAAGGTTCTACTTCACAATCGCAACCACAACAATAGCAACTATTAGGATTACTGCAATATGAAGGGAAATAATTTCAATGCGGGATAATAAGTAATTTACTAACCGTAGTTGCAGTTTTTTATAATATAAAAAAAACATACAGTGGCTTCCAAAAAAAACGCACCACCGTACTTTGCTAATTATTAATCACGTGTTTGACGATCAACCATTTAATTTTATTTTTTTTTATCGTTATGTACAGATTTCTGAATTAATTCATGAAATTTTGTCCGACAGATCATCAAAACACTTGCAACATATACTCTCTTATAGTCCGATCTGCTTGCTCTATGTTGGGAAAAAATATACTCGATATCTAATCGTTCGTTAAGAACAATATGTATTAATCTTACTAACTAATCTATGATAGATTATAGCGCCTACCCTCCCATCCTGACGAATATTTGTCCTTTAAATAATAAATTTTTGTATTTTTGGTCGATGCAATTAATCAACCAGACAATCGCAAAGATTTTGAAAGATCAAAATATTACAATGAATATAATTTTTGTGATTATATCTGATTGATTTGAGTCAATTAAAAAATTGAAATTTTACTATTTATTTATTTTATTATGAAAAGAAACAAAAATATAAAAAAAAAAATTTTGTAATTTATAAGATCATAAAAGAATTTCAATCGAAGGACCTTTTTTATAGAAAAATTGTTATTTTTTTTCTTAAAAAATAAAAATTTTTTAATAAAATTAAAATTTTCATTTTTAACTATTGCTTTGTTAAATCGAAAAATGCCTTCTAAGTTAAAAACTTTTTGTTACATTTACGACTTAAAAGAGAATAGCCCAAGATTTTATTATAAAAGAGGTTATGGCTGTTGTCAAAATGGACGAATCTGACCTCACCAAGGTCACATATTTACAAATTAAAGTGTTCACTCCAATAGACCATAAGATTCAACCCTTCGAGGTGGACGATACCGTTTACCTAAAGGAAAAATTTGTCGGATGCCCCAATTGGTACACAGTATGTATTTTTTTTTTTATTTTAATAAAAAAAATTAATAAAATTAATAAAATAAATTGAAAATTTAATAAAAAAACCTTTATACCAACCTACCTTAAGGTGAACACAACCTGCATGAGAGTCGTGAATTTTGACTTTGATAATAGGTATAAAATTCACTTTAACGGGAATAATGATGCAAGCCGTGAGAAACGTTGACGGTAAGTCAGCTTTGGATTTCTACGTCGAAGAATGACTTCGAGAGAGAGAACTGCGTAACTTTGGGTAGAAGTCTGTGAATAAAATAAATGTGATCAATATCTACTACCTCTACCCTCTTAGTTAAAACCATTAGCTAGGTGCTGACCCCTTCTCTGGTATAGAATCGTCTCTGAAAAACACATTTTGACCTAGAGGACATTTCATTGATCCCCACCTCCAACCAGAACCGCTCCAATAGTAATAGATCGTTTAATCTTCCATAGTTGAACTCCAGCCCTAATCTAAATTCTGAACGTACAACTCGTTCTTTGATTCCAATACTCGAAGACCTAGAAGAGGTCAACAAATGTTATCACGAATGAATGTGACCACCACCACCTCTGAATACGAGTCTAGAGACCATAATAAACGAAAATCTGATTTCCGCTGGTATTATTAATTCAACGATGACCCCACCACCGATCAATGAACAAGAAATAAACCACCGGTCATGGTAATTACTAATGATTTTTGTGATTTTAGGAATAAATTTTTTTTAGGTTTTTTTTTGAATATTTTCAGCTCCTCCAACATTAAATGCCTGGTAAAAATGCTTTTGAGATTTTCGCAAAAGTTAAAACTTGATTTCTTTATTTTTTATATTATTAAAATAAAAAAATTTGTTAAAATATTATTTTTGTTGAATTTTTTTTTTAAAAAAAAATATGCATTTAAAACTAATTATTGTGGATAATTTTTTTAAAATAAAACTTAGGCAAATATTGTCAGTATATTTCTTATTTGTTTTTGTTTTTTTTAAATCGCTAACCTTAAATAAAATTCATAATTATTTATTATTCTTTCAAAAAAAAGATAAGCCCTAAAAAGTAAAAATAAGCGTAAACGAAGAAATAGATGAGAAAATAAACCAGAGGGGACACCTAGAATTAAATATTGAAAATGAACTCCCTCTTCAAAATGGTTGGACTTATATCGTTGTAATCAGTCTAAATTAATGAAATATATTATTTGTATAATGATTATAATAGAATAATCATTTAATTTGGTAAGTTATCATATATCATATAAAAATGTAGATTCTCTTTTTTTAGTAATCGAATTATGACCAAATAATAACAATATTTAATACCCTTAACAACTTCAGGGTGAATTTCGTTTCCTTTTCATCGATTACTATGAGCTTATGTATGTATGTAGCCTCCTGGTATCATAAAAAAAAAATAATAAAAGGTAGAATTGATATAACGAAAAAAATAGTTGTCGAAATATTTTATTTTATTTTATTTTATTTTATTTTTTTAAATTTATCAATAAAAAAAAAAAAAAAAAGGTGGATGGTCAAATGAAAACTGATTTAATAAAAATAAAACATGAAATTAAAAATAAAATTAAACCAAGATTTTCATCACCTGATCCAATTTTCGTAACCTTACAATTCTTACAATTGGTTATAACTTTTATAACTTTGACGAAGTGAATATGATTGATATGTAACTGTTAAACCCAAATCTTTCGCATTCAAACAAAAAAACATTTGATTTCTTACTTTATTTCACCTTTAAATTTTTAAATTTTTATTTTTCAAACCTTTACACCTCTTATTTACTTAATAAATTATCTACCTTTTCTTTCAATCTCAAAATTTTTACTTATTTGTTTAACCATTAAATTGCATTTCTTTAAAAATTCCTTTATCCTATTTTTATTTAAACATTATGTCCCACCAAATCAACTCAATTTACACCTTTGATAATGAATATGAATGACACTGGATTTGATTAACAAATATCACATCTGTCATACCTACTAATCCTAATATTCTCTTATTTAAACCACTTTAACCCAGTGTTTGCCAAATGATTAGACTGGCAAATGACTCAAATGACAAATGACAAATGATCTGTCATTTCAATTATCAAATGACCAGTCATTTCAATAAT